TCTATGCAAATATGGTCCCTTCGTGGTTGCCAAATCTGTTATAGGACAGGGAGAGGGGCAGCCCAAACCCCGCAAACCTGCCTATTCTATGTAGGGTTCTGCCATCCGCCGCATCAACACAAAACATAAGAGACTTTAATGGGAAGGAACTTTAATAAAACTAGGAAACAATACAGGAAAGGCAAAGAATCTAGTTTCTAAATCAAGCACCCAAGGTTACCCGTCCCCTCGTGGGTAAAAGTCCATCCAAATGGGATTGGCCCAGAGCAAGGCCCCAAAGCCTGCCACAAGTCTAAGGCATCTTCCAGTGGGGACCCACAGAAAAGGGTCAGAAACAACCAGACAAGCCCAGAAGGAAAAGGGAAAAATCAATATCAAGATAAAAGCTGCCATTGTCACCTCCCCATGGGTCTCGCCCACATCTGTGTCACCCAGTCCACGACCAAAAGACAAGCACAGTTTCTTCACGTGTCTCTAGGCTCCATGCGCCTCCTCCAGGTCTCCTGGCTCCATCCTGCTTCCTTCCTTCCTCAGTCTCTTCTGCAGCTTCTCCTCTTCCTGCTCAGCTCCACCCTCCCTTGGGTGGGGCAGGGAACCTCCCCCTTTCCTGGGGACCACCCTGTTACAATTGGACTTGTTGATTTTCTTATTTACTTATTCTATCAATTTGTATCAGACAGAGATTGGTGTGATAAAATCTTATGCTTTGATTATGGATTTGTCTTTTCCTCTTTAAATTTTGTTTTTTATAGATTTTTGAGACTGTGTTGCTATGTGCATACAACTTTAGAATTGTTACAGCTGCCTGCTGCCTGGTGAATGGATCACTTTATCATTATGAGGTGTTCCTGTAGATCTGTTTCTTGCCTTAAAGTCTGTTTTCTTTGATACTGGTTTAATTGTACCAGTTTCCTTTGGTTAGCATGGTATGTCTTTTTCCAGTCTCTTACTTTTAACCTGTTTGTGTGTATACTTAAATTGTTGTCTTATTAAAATCATATAGTTGGAGTCTTTAAAATCTAGTCTCTTTGATTTTAATTGGAGTATTCAGTTTGTTTACTTTTAATGTAAAAGGACAAGTTTGGACTTAAAGCTACCATTTTTCTCTGTTATTTATTCATCTCACTTGCTTTGTTCTGTTTCCTCTCCCTTCTTGCCCTCAATTTTCTGACCAAAATTGTTAATCTATTATTTCCTCCTCTATTAGTTTGTTAATTTACTTTTCTGTTGGTGAGTGTCCAAGAAGTGATAGTACTACGTATTCTTGCTTTATTTAGGTCTAGTATAAATTAATAATTTTACTGCAACCCAGATAATACAGCAGAATCATCCTTGCCCAAGCCGTCTTTAAATATTGAAGTCTGTGATTTAAAAATTTTTAAATGTTTCAGTCTGATATATTTTATTTTTTTTAATTTATTTTTTAAAAAGATTTTATTTATTTATACAAGCACTGGGTACAGTCAGAAGTGCAGGAGGGTGAGAGAATTCACCAGAGCCAGAGCGGGGAGCAGAGCAGGCAGAAGGACTGAAGTACACTGCTGAGGGGAGCAGCGGGCGGCAGGAGAGGTCTGCGCGCCATGTGGGACCCTCCTCTGGTGGCCGGGGAGCAGCCGGGGAACGAACCCGCGCTGCAGAGGCTGCGGGCAGCTTCGCAACCCAGCGCTCAACCGCTGTGCCACCGGGGAGGCCCCTGATATATTTTAAACTGAAGTTCAAATCTTCCCCTAAAAGGGACTCCAAATTCATAGTTTTTACTGAAGGGGTAAATAGTTTCAGCCTTACACAGCTCTTTCAAAGCACAGGAAAGAGGGAGAATAGTCCCATTTTATCATATGAGACTGTTATGAATATGATCGCAAACCTGATAGAAGAGTCTGATGAAGAATAATTATAGGCCAGTTTAACACAGAGGGGGAGTCTCTGAACAAAGACAGAACAAATTAAAAGGCCAAAAACAGAAATTTTAAATCTCTTATGACCAAGATAGATTTATCATAACCGTGCAAAGATGTTTTGACATATAAAAATGTTTACTATAATTTGCTGTATAAACAGATTAAAGGAGACAAATGGTATGCTCATATAATTAGATGCAGAAATTTAGCACCCATTCATGATTCGAAAATGAAAAACTTAATAGTAAATTAGGAATTGAAGAGAACTGCCTTAACCTGAAAAAGATAATCTGTCATTCCACTAAGACTGAGAACAGTTTGTTCATTAAGTGTGATTGGTTTACTTTTTCTTGTTAACTTACATTTAACCAATTAGATGCCTGAAAGCAATGACCTAATCCAGAGGAGTGAATCTCAAATAGGAATTCCCAGGATCCCTGTAATCAGGCAGAGATGTTTTTGGCAAACATTGTGGTACTCTGCAAATCTTACTAATGTGCATAGATTATTATTATGCTTTTTCAGTTAGCATATTTGCACTGTATTAGGCCCTCTCTTGGGCCTTGATGAAACATAGTCCTGTTGTCAAGAAACTCCCTCCAGTGCAGGAGGCAAGCATGTCGACAGACACAGACTGTGACAGGGATGCAGAGTGCCTTGGGGAATACAGGGAGCTCATCAACTCAGACCCCAGAGGAAAGGGACTGGTAGAGGACTGGAGCAGTACTTTAAAGGACTAACATTATAGCCATGTTAAGATCAGACATTACTGTCCTTTTAAATTTAGAGCTCTCATTTTTTTTTTTTTTTTTTTTAGAGGCATTTTTTTTTATTTTATTTATTTATTTGTTTGTTTGTTTTGTTTATACATGCACTGGGTATAGTCAGAAGCGCGGGAGGGCGAGAGAATTCACCAGAGCCAGAGCGGGGAGCAGAGCAGGCAGAAGGACCGAAGTACACTGCTGAGGGGAGCAGCGGGCGGCAGGAGAGGTCTGCGCGCCATGTGGGACCCTCCTCTGGTGGCCGGGGAGCAGCCGGGGATCGAACCGGCGCCGCAGAGGCTGCGGGCAGCTTCGCAACCCAGCGCTCAACGACTGCGCCACCGGGGAGGCCCTTAGAGCTCTCATTTAAGACTTCAGCCAGCAATAATGGCTAATATTTATTGAGAGCTTACTATGTGCCTCCTATTATTAGTAAGCACTGTAAGTGTGTTGATCCATTTGGTCCTTACAACGCTGATACAAGGCATGTACTTTAAGGCTATTGTACAGATGAGGAAGCTGTAAAGTAGCTTCCCTAAGATTACTCAGTCACTGTCAGAGCCTGACTTAGACTTTGATGGTCTCCTTCCAGGCCCTTACCACTAGCTCTTACCACTAAGCCATGCTGCTTCTGCACAGGTTATAACCACAATATTCTGCTGCTCAACAGGATTTAGAGAAAGCTACAACAAACAGAACCATAGAAGCTGAGCTCTGTGGAAACTTTGCTGTGAATGTAGTAATTGTATTACTATTGACTTAAGATGTAAGTCTTGACCTCAGACATTTTGGACATAGTATCTGAGACCACACTGTACTCAATCAGATCTACTATTTCAATCAAGTGAAAAGTGTTCACCTATAAAATATTTTATTTCTGAAAAGAAATAGTTGTGTTTTTTTCAGTTTGGAGTCTTGTTATTGTATGTGGGTAGATGTCCCAAAATATTTTTACCAAAAAATTCTGTCCAGATGCTTCCTGAGCTCCCACTTTCACCATGAAGGCTTTTTTGATTACTTTAGGTTTTTGTGGGGTTTTGGGTTGTTTCCTCTTTTTTACTGCAGCCTTTTTTGTACTCTCTTGTTCTGGATTCTGTTGATTGCAAGTAAAAGAAACTCAGTTCAAAACAGTTAAGCTGAAGAGGGTGTTGCTAGAAGAGCCCTAGACCCACTAAGAATCAGTAGAAGACCCCTGGACACTGAGAAACTGACTGAAGTCCCCTTCCCACAACTCTTGATCTCACTGCCTCTGTGCGCACATGCACACACACACACACCTCTCTCTCTCTCTTCTTCTCTCTCTCTCTCCTTCTCTCTTTCTTCTGTTGCTTTACTCCTACCTCTGATGGCCTCACTCAGCAGTGGGGACTCCAGGTTTGCCTTATCCCAGTTTCATGAGCTCAGAGAAGGGAAGACTTCCTTCTTTCTTCTTCAATATATCTGAATCCCAGCTTGGGTCATGTACATGTCCTTTGGACCAGTCATGTGGCCAGGGAGATGATGTGCTGTCATCAGTTAAACCCGGATTAAATGACCACACCTGGGTGGGATTGGGAGGAATCCTTTATGTGACAGACTCCTTAAAACAACATGGGGGAGAGGTGGGAGGACCTAGAGGGTAGGGTGCAGAGATCATGTCCCCAGAAGGATGCTGTTAGAAGAAGACAGAAAGAAAATGATATCCTACACTGCGGCACTTTTCTGTGCTTTGAGAATATAGAAGGCAAAGACTATATATAGACTTGGCAGTCAAATGACCTTGGGTCAAACTCCTGTGAACCTTTGTAGCATTTTGCATAGAAATATGCTTAATAAGCAATTGTTTTCTTCATTTCTTGTTTGGAATAATTTTCATTATTTTAGCTCATTAGAATCATGGCTCTAGGCAGACATTAGTTTTTCCATTTTTAGTTTTGAATTAGGTTATTAAATAATTGCTTCTGTGTTTAGTTCAGACTCTTATTGGATAAAAGTAATGGGTAACTTGGTTAAATACGTATGTCAAATATATGAATGAGCAAAATTCCTCTTCATGTGTTCTAACAAGCAGATTGTTTCCTTGTGTTTTTGATAGATTACTTTCTTATTGAAAACAAAGTACCAAATTAAAGAATTGGCCATGTGTTCTTTAAAAGTAAATTAATATGAAAATAGATGATTTTAACATGTATTTGTCTTCAGTGGCTACATAACTTAAATAATTGTATTCAAGATTTTTCTTTTATCATCAAGATATTTTTTAAAACTTAATTGTTTTGCTTTAAGATTTTTGTCTTTTGATGCAAATGCCACATCATTACTTAAGACAAAATATATTGACTTATTTTCATTTTCTCCTTAGGAACTGAGAGAAAGCTACCATACACAGCAGTTAGCCCTTGAACAACTTCATAAGATCAAGCGTGACAAGTTGAAGGAAGTTGAAAGAAAAAGATCAGAACTTATACAAAAAAAGAAACTAGAAGATGAGGCTGCCAGGTAATAGAGCTGATAACCTATTATACTCTGTTGCTATTAGAATTCTACTTCTATTTCCTGTATCTTTTGACTAGAAATTTTAAGGAAAATAAAAGGATTATTCTGGGATAATAATTAGATTTTAAATTTTCAAAATTCAATCTTCTTTGAGTTTGCAGTAATCAGCTTTATGTTCAGTTAGTAAAAGAATGGACTTTGGAGTCAGACCTGGATTAGAATTCTTGATCTACCGCATACTATCTGGATAACCTTGGTTAAGTCACTTTACCTTTCTGAACCCCAGTTTCTCCATCTGGAAAATAAACTACTAATGAACATACTTCATGGTAACTGAGAGTTAAATAAAGTAATGTTGCCAAAAGCCAAGTACAATATCTTGCCCCCAGGATTTCCATAGTAAACCTACTACTATTTTGTGAAAGAGTATAAAAACTGAACACTTAGTTTCACAGTGTCAAGACTGAGTGCAGAAGCCATGTTGATGAAGCAGTCTTCATACCACTGAGAATCTCAGTTGCCTCCACTTACAGCAAGGAGAAATAAGCATTGAACTGTTCATTTGGAGATTTTGCTTGACCTTTTTTCTGTCAGTCAGACCCTCTTTAACTCCTAAGTTCCCTAGTGTCAGAAATTAGTATGACTAGTTAGCAAATATCAATGAACCATGATTCTTTTGCCTTCAATGAGAGTAAATAAGTAATGCCCATAAAAGAGCTAATAGTTTCTGGGAGGCAAGAAGAACACATTACCATTTAGCAGCATTCTGTTCTTAATGCTTCATAGTAACAACTTTCAACACATTTTTATTGGGTGGCCACTGTTGGTCATGATGCAGGTAGACTCTGGGTTACTCCTAACTCCTTACTCATCATCCTAGTAGGGACTCAGACAGCTAAACAAAGAGTTGTGACACTCTAAGAGCCTCACTTTTGTGGCCCTTAACAAGAGATATTAAAATAACATAGAAGTAGAGACAGTGAAGTTCAAACTAAGAAGACTTCTTTTCCACTTGAGTTGTGCCACTGAGCATCGCATAAAGGAACTGTGCAGTAGTTACTAGCCAGTCACTGTGTCAGAGTTTTCTGTGGACACAGATATCTTGATACCTCTTCATCACTGCTCACAATTCCTTTTGGGCCTACAGGCCATATTAGTAATATACTTGTAGGATTAATCCAGAACTGAGCTACAGTTCTATCTTGAGTTCTGGGTCATGTGCCCAGGTATGTTCCCATCCTGTCCCAAGCTCTCGGTAGTCGTTTTCATGTTGTAGATGTGACCTCTTTGCCATTTGTCCAGCTTTTGAGGTGTCTTCTGGCTCTGGATCAATTTCTCATCACTAACTCATAAATAAGAATTTTACAGACTTTGATTTGACATTATCTTAACTCTCTTTATATTTTATTTATCCCAGTAAAACTGTAGGAAATACTCTCATGTAGGTGGTGCCTATAGGATACGGGGATTCAAGTAAAGGCTAGACTGGGATCAGGAAAGGGAATAAGTGGTTGGCGTTAAGTAAGGATTATAAGAGAAGCTTGGCTCTCAAGAGAGAACTGATGTCAGTTACAGAAAATGTGGGAGGAAGCTCTCTGAAGTAATAGAGGGCGTAGGAGGTTTTGCATGGGATTGAGAGGAAGCTAGTCAAGGACTAATGTACCAGGCGTGTGAAAGAGGAGACAGTTTGGGGATGAAAAAGGTTCATGATTACTTGGGGCTGCAGTTTTTGGAATTATCCAGAATTTCCAAATTCCTCCAGGAATTATAGGAATGAAGACATGGAACGAAGCTAAGGTTTCTACCTTGGATATAAATGAGGATATCTCCAACCCCAGTCTGCACTGTCCCTATTGTGTATGCTGCGGTTTGGAGAGCTTTAGTTTAGCTGAGGTTGCTAAATTTAGGATGAAAGCTCTACCTCTGAGTAAGAGGTGTAATATATGCAAGGAAGAGCTATGATGATCCTCAGTGCTAACAATAAAATAACTGACTCTGATCACAGATTATCTTGACCAGCCAGAAATCAAGCTGCAGTTTTTTGGATATCATAGAAACATGCACAGAAGCGTAGACATATAAGGAAAAATGCTCTAACAAGTGAAAAAGACTTTAAGATGATGATTTGCAAAGTAAATAATCTGTCCAGAATCATATTCTATTTCTGTAGCAATGACAGAATCCTGAAAATTGGAATTAGCAGAATGGTGGAAATAAGAGCTGGAAGACAGTTGTTGTGAAGAATCTGGAATCAAAGGAAGAGAATTTAGATGTAGTTTTTACATTTGTTTTCTGGATAGTTCCATTTAATTCCCCCATCCACCCACTCATCACTGAGTTTTGTTTTGTTTTTTATAATGGGTTTGGCAGGTTGGCTGGTTAGAAGGAATTTGACAGTATGATAAACAGCTCATCTGTTTGTCCAGAGCTCTCCTCTTGATTAATCAATTAATTGGTTTTTCCCCTTCATCCATGATCCCACTGTTTCTCCACAGCCCCCCTTCTAAACTCTTTTCTTTATAACAGATATACAGTTATACCAGATCTTATATAGATACATACAAAATAAATAATATTTCTTTCACCTGTTTGGGACAAGATCTTCTATTGTATTTTTTGTGTAAAAATTTTTTTAAGACAACCTGCAACCCTCTTCTTTTATATAAAGGAAAGCAAAGCAAGAAAAAGAAAACTTATGGAGAGAGAGTCTTAGAAAAGAGGAAGAAGAAAAACAAAAGCGACTCCAAGATGAAAAAACACAAGAAAAAGTTCAAGCAGAGGAGCGGAAAGCTGAGGAGAAACAATGTAAGGATAAGAATAAAAATCACAGATTTCCTTTTTCTGATACAGAGCAGCAAAAACAACAAGAAAAAATAAAGGTTCTGATGAGGCAAAAGATAGAACAAAAAAGTGAAAATAGATGCTAACGTTGAGTCGGAAAAAAACCTTTTTCTAAATTAAACCTGTATAAGAAGTGTGTAGACTTGACAAAAAGGAAAACAGACTGAGGATAGACCTTGTAGAAAGGAAGAATGTAGTCACTGACTGACTGTAAACAGACCCTGACATGGTCTTTATAGTTGAAGTAAATAGCTTTAAATATTCAATCAGTATAACTAAACTGTTTTAATGAAACACAGTAAAATTTTAAATCTTTGCACACTGACATTTTTTCAGGAGATAAACTTTGTTTTTGATACACATCAGAGTCCATGCCTAAATAATTCTCTCTTTCGGAGGCACAAATCTTTTTGAATCATTATGTTGAAAAATCACTAAGTTAAAGCATTTGTTTGCCTTTGTTCCGTAAATGAACTAAGTAAAGTATATCAAGTCCAGAGGAGTTGTGCACTCTCTGTTTCTCTTGGAACCATCCAGATAAGCGATTGATTTTGATTCAGTTGATTCTGTTTACTTGTTGATCTTTGCATGAGTGACCTTCTCTTTTGTGCTTTTCTTCCCTGTTACGTTTTGACTCCCACGGGTCACACCAGCCTCTTGCTGCTCAGTCTCCTTCCCCCCTGCACTGCTCAGCCCGCGCCCACTCCACCTCAGCCCGTGCCCGCCATGCACCCTTGTTCTACCGCCTGCTGCTTAACATGAATGTCCTTGTTTGGTCTTGCCAGGAGTCTGATTGCTCAAGATATTTAAATTCTGGCAGGCCTTTATCACATGGAATTTCAGTATGCTGTTTGATGCGCCATTTTTTCTAATTTTAAAGAGCACTTTATTGAGTCATAGCAAAGATGTGTATCCAGGAAAGTGGCAAATGATGACCATTATCTTCTCTCTAGGCGAGCTTCCCAGAGCTTTGGTGAATTACAAAGCATTATATTGCTTCGAAGCAAGGAACCATGATGAGATGAGTTTTAATGCTGGGGATATAATACAGGTAGGAAAAATAGTTTTTTATCCAATCAATAGACTGAATACAGTCGTAATAAATTGCTTTCTATAATAATGATCTTGACTCTAGCTTTATGCAGTGGTTTACATTTTTGGACTATACCTTAGATACTACTTCATTTGGTTGAGGAGATAGTAAATACATAAAACTCTTTGAAGGATCTTGGCTTTTGGAAGGGTGATGAAAGAGAAGATGGGAAATCATGAGGAATATGAGTTGAGGGAAATTGTTCTATTTTTTGTCATTTTTTTTTTTAACTTGCTGAAGCTTGAACAAACTTAATGAAAGGATCTGCAGAGAAGGAAAGGGTTAATAAGACTGGAGAGAGTAGATCTCTAGTAGAGGGAGATTTTTTTTTTTTTTTTTTTTTTTTTTTTTTTATAGAGGCATGCTTGCTGTTTGTTTGTTTTGTTTTTGTTTATACATGCACTGGGTACAGTCAGAAGCGCGGGAGGGTGAGAGAATTCACCAAAGCCAGAGCGGGGAGCAGAGCAGGCAGAAGGACCGAAGTACACTGCTGAGGGGAGCAGCGGGCGGCAGGAGAGGTCTGCGCGCCATGCGGGACCCTCCTCCGGTGTCCGGGGAGCAGCTGGGGATCGAACAGCAGCGGGCGGCAGGAGAGGTCTGCGCGCCATGCGGGACCCTCCTCCGGTGTCCGGGGAGCAGCTGGGGATCGAACCGGCGCCACAGAGGCCGCGCGCAGCTTCGCAACCCAGCGCTCAACCGCTGTGCCACCGGGGAGGCCCGAGATTTTTTTTTTCTAATCAAAGTATAGTAAGTACAGAACCATAAGTGTATAGCTCAAATAATTTGTTCACCTGTAATTGTCTATAAAACTATCACTTAGAAACACAAGATGTTACCAGTGTTTGAGGGCCAGGGGCCAGGAAAGAATTCTGTGAGGTCAAAGGACATCAGGCTGTAGAAGGAAAACCTCTGGGAGAAGAACCGAAGCCATAAATCACCTGTGTGTTTTATCTGTTGGGAAATAGTATTCAAAGACTCTGTTGTTCTGCTGGGGAGTTCAAGAAGACTGACAAAAACAGAGAAATCGAAGCAAAAACAAAGCAACATAACAAAATAATAATTAACTATAGGTGAAGTTTACTTCACTATAGGTGAAGCAAGGAAATGTAATTAGAACCCTACATGACTCAGATGTGAAATGTTTACATTGTCATAATATTATTTAACCAAAAATTATGACATAGCAGTGTTGGTAGAATAAGGGGAAACAGCAAAAGAGAACTGAGTCTTTATTTTCCATAACCAAAAGCTTACATAGTGTCTAAAATTGAAAAATTCAAGAAATAGCATAATTATATTATTTAGAAATATAGAAGATACTACAAAAGAAACAACTAGGAATGACAGATTATCATTAAGAGTAGAAATCAGGGCCATGAGGAGGTGTGGCATCTTCCACCACAAGCCATGTAGAATGCTGTTTATCTTTGAGAAATTATCTTTTCAACAATGTATTAATGTGAATAAAATTAAAAATTGATTTTTAAAAGGCGCATTGTCAGTCATTAGAGATAGTAATCTATCTAACTTTGCAGAAAATGCCATCATTACTTCATTAGAGGGGCTTAATTCTGATGATAACCTACTCGACAGTACATAGTCGTAGCTCTTTCCACTGTTAACCTTTTTTGTTTCCATAGGTTGATGAAAAAACCGTAGGGGAACCTGGTTGGCTTTATGGTAGTTTTCAAGGAAATTTTGGCTGGTTTCCATGTAACTATGTAGAAAAAATATCATCAAGTGAAAAAGCTGTGTCTCCTAAGAAAGCCTTACTTCCTCCTACAGTATCTTTACCTGCTACCTCAACTCCTTCTGAGTAAGTTGTTTTTTGTTTATTTTTTTAATTTATTTTTTTTAGTTTCTTTCTTCTGAGTAAGTTTTTAGTTAATAATGGAGTTTATACAGCTCTGCAAATATACAAATACCCAGTAAGTATTTGTGTCAACCTACTACTTAATCATGAGACAAAAGAGTATATCTTTTTGTCTCAAATTTAATATTGAAATTTAGTAAAAGAAAATAAATAGGTCAATAGTTTGTTCATGAACTATTTTTTCCATAAGTTATGTTTAAATATGTTTAAATGCAATGTATATTGTGTATAAGTTGGTAAATTGGTAGTGCTGGGTCCTCCATGCCTAGAGGTTAAGTCTCAGCTCTATCATTGCCAGGGCCTGAGTTTGACCCCTGGCCAGGGAGCTGACCCACATATGGCACAGCATACTTCTCCTGTCTCGCCCACTGCTCCCCTTAGCAGTGTATTTCAGTAGATCTACCTGTTCTGTTCACCACTGTGTCTCTGGTGAATTCTCTCACCCACCTCATGTCTGGCCTACACCCCAATTCTACGTAAAAATAAATAAATAAAATAATAAATTGATAGTGCTTCAATAGAGTCTAAACAATTAAGTATACTTATATCAAAGTGTTATATTTGCAGATCACTTTCCTCAGATCAACCAGCATCAGTGACTGATTATCAAAATGTATCTTTTTCAAACCTAACTGTTAATACATCATGGCAGAAAAAATCAGCTTTTACTCGCACTGTGTCGCCTGGATCAGTATCACCTATTCACGGACAGGTACGTGTCTTTTGTTTGTATGTGCTTTATTCTTTGACTCTGCTCCTGATTCATATAAAATGAGGAGTTTTGTACACAGCCATCATTCACTCATTTGACCAGAGTCTTGTAGCATCCTGTTTCTGTTCTTATTCATGTTTGAAATAAAATAGAAGAAATTATTATAACAATTCATTCTCATAGTATCAAGTTATGAGCAGCTAAAGTTTCTAAGCTCAAACTATCATTTTTATAAATCTGATTATATTCTTAATTTGTAGTCATGAGAAGAGATTTTGGCGTGAGGGTTTTTTTGTTTGTTTGCTTGCTTTTAATAAGTCATTTGCCTAGGAACTGTGTTACATGAATTTAGCCACTGATTTAGGTGTAACCATTGCAAACATTGTTACATTAACATTATTATTAAGTAATCTCAGACTTACTCAGAATAGGGTGCTGTGGGTTTCACTTTCACTCTATGTTCATTGCATGACCACAGGTTCCAGACATTATATACCAGAAAATTAAGGGGGGAAAAAAAAACTCTGCACGTAACAATTCGTCTTCTAATGGAGACAGACATATGAATAAATAGCAGCAAGGTAGGAGAAATATTAAAGATTTCTGCAGTCTTGAGAGGTATACAGAGGAAAGAGCATTTCATTCGATCTGGGAATTGGACCAGACCTCAAAAGGGCAAGGCATTTGAATAAGACCATTGATGATAAACAGGATTTCACCAGAGACAGAAAATTATTTCTGTGAAAGAACAATTTGGGGACAGTCACTGAGATTTGTGTATAGTATAGCTGGAGTGCAGGATTCATGGAAGAGTTGATAGATTTAAAAGGGTATTAGGAATTGACATGAATTTGGCAATCCATTGAATGTGGGGAATGAGGAAGAAATAGAAGTTAAAGGAACTTCTTCAGGGTCATTAGTTTAAATAACTGAAGGAACGGTGATACTGTCTGGAGAGGCAATGTGAGAAGAGTAGATTTGTTGAATTCTAAAAATGATTATGTTTTAGACATGCAGCTTAGCTATCTGTATTGGGACAACTTGGATTCACAAGTCTGGAGCTAAAGAGATAAAGTTACACTGAAGAACAGATGAGAACACATAGGCATAAATAACATTCTTTGGGAAATCATGTGGAAAAGGAAAGGAAAGGGGTTAGACCAAATAGGAGCTGTCAGTCACCAGCCAGTGGATCTAAGGAACTATAGGGGTGTCAGAGTTGTCAGCACTGTTCAGAGATCAGGGAAATTAAGAATTTGGAAGAGGCTTTTGGCTTTGATGTTACCAGTGATCTTGTCAAGAAGAGGTTCAGTTGTATGATGGATGCAGACCTGAATTAGAATGATTGAGGGGTGAAATTGGAAAGCCAGTTTTAGATTGTTCCTTTTTTTGAACCTTAGAAGTAAGCACTGAAGTGGAGAGATTGAAGATTGAAGAGAAGGATTTCATGTTACAGAATACGTTTAGAAAATGGGAGGGCATAGTAGACTTAGCGTACAAGCAAAGATGTTAGCCTTATCAACAGAACAGAACCACTCCTTCCTGTGAGAGAGGAGAGATAGAAAGAATTGATAAGAGTTGGAAGAAGTCATGAGACAGAAAGCAAAAAAGGAGAGGGAAACTGAGCATGGCCACATCTCCATACTAGTGGAGTCAGCCATCAACATTGGGAGTTGAAGAGACATTGGAAACTGGAGGGAGAAAGGGTTGCAGTAACTCTTTCCCTTTTCATCTGCTCTATGCTATGTACTGGATGGATTTATGAATGCATTTCTTGAGTACCTTCCATACCAGTGATACTTAATGCCAAAATGTTTCTTTGAATGGTAGGTATTCAGTCTTTAATTTAGCAGAATGCTATTCAGATGCTTGTCATACATAATTTTAAGTTGTTTAGTAGATTAAGGTTAAGTCACCATTGATAATAACTTACCACCACACCAAACAGGTCTGCTGTTTGAACATAAGCATATAGTATACTAGTAAACAGAAGTCATGGTTACGATTGTCTTTTTTAAAATATTGTGGTTTTGTATTCATAGGGACAGGTTGTTGAAAACCTAAAAGCTCAGGCCCTTTGTTCCTGGACTGCAAAGAAAGATAACCACTTGAACTTCTCAAAGCATGATATTATTACTGTCTTGGAGCAGCAAGAAAATTGGTGGTTTGGCGAGGTGCATGGAGGAAGAGGATGGTTTCCAAAATCTTATGTCAAAATCATACCTGGGAGTGAAGTGAAGCGGGAAGAGTAAGCGTTTTGTGTGTTTACAGGAAATGTGAATGTTGGTGTTTTCAACAATGACTTTGCTATGACATTAAATTAAAAGTCTGTGCTTGACTTTGAATATCAAAAGAGTAATTCCTAGAGTGAAAAGAACGATCAGATACTTCCACCAGCTTTAGAGTATCTTTTAGTCTAGTTATTTCAGATTCCTAAAGTTTTCAAAGTGCTTAGTTAGATCTGTTTGCTTTCTTTGTATCATCAGGTCAGAGAAGTTACCCTTCATTTTCTTTGGAGCACTTCTCCCTGGTTTACTATAAATTATCAATATTTAAAAGCATTTTTATTTAGGACCTCCCCTTTGCTGGTGTAGGACACTCTCGGGTGGCCTCCAGGGTCCTTAAACATCAGCTGTCTTATTACTTATAACACACTGTGTTGTAGTTATTTGCTTTCTGACCCATGCCTCCTATTAGATAATAAATTTATAAGGGCAGGATCCATGTCTTCTTTTAAATTTTTGATTTGCACCTCTTCCATGCCTACTGTAATCCTCCTGCATACTATCTATGCTGTCACTTAACTCAGTGAATGAGGACAGGAGCTAGTAAAGAATGGACTGTCAAATGGTTAACTTTCAAATGAATAGAAAGCAAAGACTAGATAAATTCCCCAGCTTTTATTTCCCAGTATGCAGGGGAGTCTGATCACCGAATATCTTTAATACAAAGAATAAGTATTCTAATGTAGTTATGAATAACTATCTCCTGTGTTTTATATGGAATAAAAAAGGCAGTCTGATTTAAAGAAAAGGGACTGGTCTTTGGAAACCAAGAGGCTTAAGTTTTTTCTTTCCCAGGCCATGTGGAATAACCTGCTTGGTCTTCAGTTTTCTAATTGATTGAATGAAAAGAATAAACTAAATAATCTTTAAAAATCCCTTCAGTGCTGAAATACTGCGTATCAATTTTAGTTCAAATACAGAAATTTACTTTTCAGATTGACACTGAATTTTAGATTTCAAAGTGTGAAATAACAGCAGTATCAACAAGACCATATAGCTGACAGATATAAGGCCCTTTATAGACATTATCTAATTTCTTGTTAAGGGGTATTTTTGGTAACTTTTCTTTCAGTTACTCATCTCTTCTAATAAATAAGGCATGTAACTTGACTACCTATAGTAATAGAGAGTTCAGCGCTAAACAAGAGAACCCATTCAGTTGTAGCCATGAGTTGTATTAAAATTCTACTGTCTCCCTAAAAACTCACTCACAGACCCTGGGGAGCCCCGCTGCATCCTACAGATGTCTACTTCTTAAAAGCAGCAGTCTTCCTGCATTAAATTGGAAGTGTAAAGCTCTGCCTGTTCTGAAATATAAAAACAAAAGTTTATTGTATGTGCGTGTGTGTGTATATATATATATTATATATATATATAAATGTAGTGTGCTCTAAATAAGTAATAAAATTTGTACATTGCCCTTGTTCTTCGCTATACTAAGCCAAGCCCAATATTTGCTTCTTCTAGTTCCTGCTCATTTATCAGTGGAGTCTTGTTTTTTAAGTTCTTTTAGAAAGGCATTTGAAAACTATAAATGTTAGATTACTTTAATATATTAAAGTAATATATAATAATATAATAAATGTTATAATATAATAAATGTTATATTACTTCAATATATAAACAATTTAGAAGTTTGTAATTAGGCGGTTCTTAATCCACTAGGATTTCGGTTATGAGGATATTTCTAGACTGTGTGCCAAGGCAGTAGTTAGATTAAGAACCCCTAATAATGGCTGAGCATGGCTGCATGCATCATTGTCTTTCTTGTTTTTTGCTTGTTGATGTCTTTTTAGTTTGTTTCATTACTTTTTTTTTTAATCTGTTTGTATGTTTATTTGGCAGACCAGAAAGTTTGTATGCAGCTATAAATAAGAAGCCTACCTCCACAGCCTATGCAGTTGGAGAAGGTAAGCTTTGGGCAATTTGTAAATTAGATGGGAGTTAATTTATCTAACTCCCTACAGTTGTGATCCACCCCTCCCCCTTTCCTATCTTAGTCTTCTGTTGTTCAAATGAAGTTAGGAAAAGCTGCCTTCCTTGAATATTGAGGATATATGAAAAATATGGCTGAAACACGTGGTTCTTTATTAAAAAGTTAGCACTATAAAAATTCAGCATAGATTGCCTCAGTAAATAAGATCATAAATGAAAAGTGGTACAGTGGGGTAGCATGAAGGCTTTTGTTTTCCTGCTATGTATCTAGATTACATATGGTGAGAAGGTAGGTGATTTCAGTACATTTAGTTTACAAATGGTATTGTAATTACATTATACCATATAAATCATCAGATAGGAATTTGAAATCAAGATACATCTATCATAAATATTACAGACTTTTTTTTCTAGAATCTTTGGGTTGTTTGATTCATTAGTAATTTTGAATTTGTCAGCATGCTAAAGAATGAAAGATTATCTACTCTCATTTGTTTATGTTGCTCAAAAATGTCAATGGTAAAAAATGGAGCAGTTTATTTTTTATCTACTATGTTAGGGATTCTATCTGAAATATACAAGAATGAATAAAACACAGTCTCCAGGTACTCACAGTAGAATGGGGAGGTCAGGCATGAATGATCATAAATTCTATAACGAGTAAACAAAAACTTTGACTGTGAACTTGCTCAAAATCCTTGAGATTAACAATTTTTTTTTACTACTGTGATCTGACAGCCAAAATTAGGGTTTTTTTGCTTTGTTATCTACAGAGTATATTGCACTTTATCCATATTCAAGTGTAGAACCTGGAGATTTAACATTCACTGAGGGTGAAGAGATACTGGTGACCCAGAAAGATGGAGAATGGTGGACTGGAAGCATTGGAGATAGAACAGGGATTTTTCCATCAAATTATGTGAAACCAAAAGATCAAGAGGTAAGAGTTATTTTGGTATATCAACAGAATCATTCCATTCTCATTGATCAAGATTCATATTTAAAACACTCTCGTGTGGGCTTGCAGTCAGACTACTTTGGTTACAAGGAAAAACCATTTAAGGTGGCACCAAGTAAATAGAGTTTATTGTTGAGGTTCAGTTAAAGATAAGGGAAACAGGATTTCATGAAATTTCAGAACAAGAATCGTGATAACTAATGATCGGGAACAGTTCCCAGTGAGGGTAGCTTGCAAGGGACCACCTAGCAGGAGTTTGTAAATCTTTGAGACTATGGCATTATGTGATTAACCTACAGCCTGAGTTCCTGCTGCTTTTCATTCCACCGCTAAATGGGATAGTGCAGCAGTTCTAGAACTTTTTTGGTTTTAGGAACTTCTTACATTTTTTAAAAAAGTTACTGGGAATTCCAAAGAGTTCTTTTTAAATATATGGATAATATCCAGTGATATCTGCCATATTGGAAATTTGTATTTAGGGAATATTAATTCATCGTAAAATAACAAAATTAAACCCACTATGCGGTAAGAGAAATAACTTGCTGCGCCACAGGGGAGGCCCAGAAATAACTTGCTTTTTATGAAAAAACAATATATTTTCAAACATAAGTTTAATATAAATATCTAAGGCAGCTAGATTCTCAGATATGTTTCTATATTCAGTCTGTTGTGATATGGTCTTTTGGCTGAAGTATGTGAAGAAAATTAAATGCACACAGGTATGGGAGAAGATAGGGAAGTATTTCAATAACATTTTTGAAAATCTGTGGATATTCTCTTCAATGTTATACCAAAACTTGACAAGTGTTAATTGTTCTAGGTTAGTTACAGCATGGAATTTGAAGCTGTATCAATGAACGCATCTTAGTTTTGCATGAAAATTAAACAGTCTGTTTTGCACATTGAATAGATCTCTCACCCATGCATGATGTGACATCATTTATTGCTTATTTGGACAATACTAAATCAACTGAATTATACAAATATTTTCTTTACTAATACATTTCATTATACAATATCAAAAAACCACATTTGTTAACATCATTACTGATCTCATAGAAAAGTCTTTAAGTACTTTGAAACTGTCAAACTCAAACATGTTTTCCAAAATTAAAATTTTCCTTTGAAAGCGTCAATTTTATCATTGTCAAAAATCCTGTTAGCTGTTTTCCTTGATGCATAGACTTATTTCAGTCATCTTTGAGAAAATGTCTGTTAAACCCCAAGGTTGAATAGCTTGTCATGTAGCTGTTCTTTATAAAAATGTTCCACAGAAGTGTAACTTAGCCACATTTAATCACACAAGTGCTTTTCCTTGAGAACCATCATAATGCAGTATGCAACAGAAATGCTGCAGACACAGTTCATTTAGTCACACAGAATTTTAAGATGTGTACTTGAATATTAAGATCCAATACGTGTTGTACTGCTTACTGAAGCACATTTATGTGAAACTGGCTTAGCTTGTTTCACCGGAAGCACGTGGCCATGGAGAGCATGTAACCTGCTAGTGTAACCCATTGCCACTGCCGGGATTCGTGCCAAGGCACCAGCAGTTTCACCCACTGATGGAAGTGTCAGCACCATGGAAGAGGTTAATAGTGTCTTGGTAATGTGAAAACAGTGTCTCCCGGACCCCTGAAAGGGGTCAAAGATGGGCCCCACGGGTCCACAAGCCACTTGTGAAGCCCCTGAGCCTCTGGGTTGATGTCTAGCTTCTGCCGCTTAGAGGCTCGTTGATCTTGTACAGATCACTTCACTTTTCTGTGCCTCAGTCTACTTCTCTAAAATGGATGTAATCACAATTAATAATGTTATCATGAAAATTAAATGTAAGTGAACGTATGTAAAATTCTCAGAGCAGTCCATTACCTCTTTATTGCCCTCAATTCTGCATCAGTATTTTAAATACAGTTGTGTATTAAAAGGAAAAATGTTTACACCCTTCCCTTTTCTTATTCAAATTCTAAAAAAGAGGAAACTTGGCTTTATCCTGTAAAGTTAAACAAGTATTAGTCACCACCCAGGATATGTATTCTTTGTTCTTCGGTCAGCTTTAGGGGGAACATAGCAAAAATGATGTTAGTGATATTGCTCCTTCTGAAGAGATTCACATATGCCATAACATCCAGAACACATGTGTTGTGTGTGCACATTGATGCTAACCCTATTGATGAGATATATTTTGCCTAGATAGTCATATTTAATATTCAGGGAAGATCCAGAAAATAAGCAAGTCCTAGTGGGTCAGTGGATGCTGACATCAGCCACTTAAACATAATGTATTGCCAGACCAGATCTTCCCAAATGTTATGGTCATTTAAAGGAACAAGAATCCTGCAAATTAGAAATCTCTAATTCCTAATAATCTTTATAATTTTTACATATGTGTTGTTAGAAAATGATAAAACACTATCTTTTCCTTATAGAGTTTTGGGAGTGCAAACAAATCGGGAACATCAAACAAAAAACCTGGTATGTATAGTAATGAAGTTTGAAGATTTCTAAATTGTTTATTATAGTCTTGAATTCATAGTTTCTCATTTCTCTTCTTTCCAGAGATTGCTCAAGTAACTTCAGCATATGTGGCTTCTGGTTCTGAACAACTTAGCCTTGCACCAGGGCAGTTAATACTAATTCTAAAGAAAAATACAAGTGGGTGGTGGCAAGGGGAGTTACAGGTAATAATCTTTAAATACATTTATTATCTTATATAAGTAATGCATGTTTATTAAAAAAATTTAGATACTCTATAGTCATGCTACTTAGAGATAATTGATATGTTTTAGTGGATTATGTTTCTCTCTAATCTTTTCCCTGTTTATTTTTAGTACAGTTGAATTGTTGTCATAAGTAACAAATATAAAGACATAATTGTTTTCCAATAACTCCTGCTTTAATAAACCATAGGTCACCTTCTTAAAGAAAAGCATAGCATTGTCTTGCGTGGGGTCACCTTAGACTTGCAATATAAAAGACCTGTGGGAGAAAAATATGATTCCCACTGTATACTAAGAGACACTGCCCATTAAACTCTTCTTCCCATGGACCAGTGAAAGGAAAGAAATTTCAGGCTTAAAATGAGCCTGCTTTTTTTTCTGAAATGTTAGCAGAGACAGTTATTGCACATGTTTTTGATACAGAAAAAGTTCTCTCCTATAATTTCCTTGGTAGTTAAAATGAAAAGAGCACTTTAGGATTAAAGGATGGTGGGGAGGGACATAATGTATTTTAGTATAAGGTTGATATATGATTATAATATAGAAGGTAGATGTAGCGTCATTCTTGCAAGTCAGCAAGAATGCTTAATTGCTCAAAAACAGTGAGGGTTCAAAATTTATCATCTTTTTGAATAACCTGAAATTCCACCTTTTGATTTCCTTTAAAGATTGACCCAATTAAGTGGAAAACTTGACTCTCCACAAATTTTATTTATGATTTCCTGATTACTTAATTACAAAGCCCAAAGAAGGATTTAAGCATTGATTTGGATATATTAGGAGAACTCTAGAAAAGTCATTGTAGCTTATAAATTATTATTATATGAAATAAGTGGAGAACTTTGAGGCCAAAAGACGAGCAAAAAACACTTCTACAAATTGCGTCTTCAGTAGCACTTTGAGATGCGTGTGGAGTTTTCCATGTGTTTAATATTGACCAGTGTTGAGTTCAGGGACCTCCGCGATCACACACAGGTTCAGTTATTCACTAGGACTCACAGACGTTATGAAGCACCAGTATACTCAGGATTGTGGTTTATTATAGCCAAGTAATATAAATTCATATTGCCAAGGGAAGATGTGTATGGGACAGAGTCCAGGAGGGTTCCAGATACAGAGCTTTCAATTGTCTTCTCCCAGTGGACAGCATTAACTCCTCTTGACAACAGATTGTGAAAATAGAGTATTGCCAACCAAAGAAGCTCACCGGAGCCTTCGTGTTCAGAGTTTGTATTTAGGTTCCATCACTTAGACATGCAGTCTCCAGTTCCTCCAGAGATTGACCCAAGCTCCCATCATAAATCACGTCGTTAGACCATGGGTGTGGGCAAGACTCACAGGTTAGCTAAGTCATTTTCTGGTCAGGATATGCCAAAGGTATGGACATCATCTCTTAGGAGCCAGAGGCTCTTTGGGCAAGGTTAAATTCTTTTTTTTTATTGAAATATAATTGACATACAATATTACATTAGTTTCGGGATACAACATCATACTTCAGTGTATTTGTATATTGAATATATGTATTTTTCACCTATTTAAATTCTTTACTGAAAATAGCCAGGGTTTTACTAATGTTTAAATTCTTCACACTTGTTTTTAATCTTTTATATTCCTTTTTGCTAATTTTACAGGCCAGAGGGAAAAAACGACAGAAAGGATGGTTTCCTGCCAGCCATGTTAAACTTTTGGGTCCAAGTAGTGAAAGAACTACACCTGCCTTTCATCCTGGTATGGAAGTGGGTTAACTTGTATTTCGTCTTAGAGAAGTTCTTTTAAAATTCAGCAGTTTCTTAAATTAGCTAACTGAAAAATACGTTTAAAAATGTGTCCTTTCTTTACCTCTCCCTTAAAAAGTACTGTGCCACCGAGAACTTCCTTTCTAAACTGTTCAGTGTTGAAACAGCTATACTTGAACCACTTCAACTCCTCCAAATTTTTCAAAGTGGAATTGTAGTCCATCATCCTTAAAGTGAAGCAGTTCACTGGATTTTTAATTATAGTTGGGAAAATCTTGTTTCTGGAAAACAGGGAATGGGGGAAGGCGGAGGATGAGAGAGAGCAGCCAAAGGGAAAGTTTAGGCTAATTTTAATACTTAATTTTAGAGTAATTTACATCCTCAGGGAATTTTAACTTGGTTCATGTTGGGGTAATTAATTTGTTATTTTGTCTCTTTCTGGTAGTGTGTCAGGTGATCGCTATGTATGACTATGCAGCAAATAATGAGGATGAGCTAAATTTCTCCAAGGGACAACTTATTAATGTTTTGAACAAAGATGACCCTGACTGGTGGCAAGGAGAAATCAACGGGGTGACTGGTCTCTTTCCTTCAAACTACGTCAAGATGACGACAGACTCAGATCCAAGTCAGCAATGTGAGTAAAGCCAAATCTGCCTCTCTGCTAGCGCGCAGGCTTGCAGACAAGCGCAGCATTTGTGGCGGGTGCATACGTCTTACACCCATGCGCTTAGCAAATGCATGTCAGTGTTTGAAGCAAGAATGCACAAAAGAAAGCTTTTCACAAGGTCAAGAGTTATACTGCTCTATTTTAAATATTTTTCTCCTTGCTGTTAGACTTTATCTGGGAAAAAAAAAAAATTATGGTTCTCTTACCAGCTCTTTAGTTAGGACAGCAGTCAGCTGCAGCCTCCCTCCACCACGGTCCTTTTTTAGCATCCAGTGTTCTTTTTCAGCTTAATAAAGAATAGCTAGTAATATCATCCAGGTTAGAAGAAAATTAAAAACCCACTTAAACTGTTTGCAGAACTCTCATGCAGTGATTTTTTTTTTTTAGATAAATAGACCTCATGTCACAAGAGATTATGACTCAAGATATATATCACTATTTTTAAAGTATGGGTCCAGATCTCAAAGTGTGAAATTTGGTATTATGTACAATTATCTCTTGATAATTACCTAGTCTTTCTTATATTTGACAATTAAACATAGCATTAATAATAAATGAGGGACTCAACAGTCCATGGAAATAAATACCTTTTACCTTTATAAAATGAATGTCACTTTTCTCAACCCTTTGAATTTTTTTTCCTACAAAATACATCATGATTTGCATTTTTATCATACATGTGAAATTATCTAAAATAGACATTCATTTTAATTTAATTGCTAAGGACACAGAAATGATAGCCAAGCTGAGATACATCTAGGTTTTTGATACTATATAATAGTGAAATATATTCTGCATTATTGTCACTTTAGAGTCTACAAAGATAGTTCTCATCTTGGGAGATAAATTTTAGCTACTTTAGGTAAAAGTAACTTAATTTCCCAACTTAGAGGTGAGAGGATTCCAGATTTTATCGTTTGAACAATCCCAAAATCACCTCAGGGTCTCAAGAGAAGTAGTGAAGAAGAGCTCTCCGACCTGGGTGAGCTTGTTAAGTCTAATGGTTTGGCAGTCCATAGTGCTAGCCGGCTCATCTGAGCAATGAGAAACCCCAGAGGAGGCTTTCCTGGGCCTGAGAGAGGGTGGTGCTGGGTCTGGCAGATCTTTGGCTGTTGCTCCCTGGAGTGTGTGGGTGCTTGGACTGTCACAGCATCTGTGATCCAAGTGTGAGCCAAAGGTTTTGCTGTTGTCTACCTTGTTTTCCAGTGGGGGGACACTTTTTTCCCAGTTAAGTCTTAAATGATAGATTCAAAGGATAAATAAAGCAGTAATAAAAGAACAGCCAGGACTCTGGCCCCAAGCCTCACCTTCCTTTCCACTACCTGTTCTATGGCAGCCCCATCAGGTTCCCCTCTGAGGATCATTTTTACATCTCTGTTCTAAAGAAATCTACTTCATTCAAGACAGTCGTGACCCCCAGAAAATTACCTTCCCAGACATTGATTGACAGCTTTTTTTCTTAAACATAATAGTTTGTCAATAAATGTTTGATACATAAATGATATGGAAAATAGATTAGCATGAGTTAGTTCTCCCAATACACACTTGCCATGGAAATTATTTTGGCCAGAGAATGCCACTGACTAAGCGATAGGAGGTATAAGTCTTAAAAGGGCCCTGTCCGATAGAATATTCTGTATTGAGGGAAATAGTCTGCCTTTGCACTGTCCAATACCACTGGTCACTTGGAGCTTTTGAGCATTTAACGTATAGCTAATATGACTGAGAAACTCAATTTTAAATTTTACTTAGGGTCTCCCTGCTGGCACAGCGGGTTGAACGCTGAGCTATGAAGCCGTCCGCAGCCTCTGCAGCGCAGGTTCAATTCCTGGCCAGCCAGGCAGAAACCCACATGGCATGGCAGACCTCTCCTGTCTCGCCTGCTGCTCCTCTCAGCAGTGTCTTCGGTCTATCTGCCTGCTCTGCTCCTCTCTCTGGTGAATTCTCTCACCCTCCCGTGCCTCTGACCTGTACCCCAGTTCTTGTATAAATAAATAAAATCTTTAAAAAAATTTTACTTAATTTTAATAAATTTAAGCCTAAATAGACATTTGTAGCTGGTGACTACTATATTCGACAGTGCAACTAGAATGACAACTTACTTCAGGCCCTCCTGAAATGAAACCAGAGATAGCAATATTGAAACAGACACATGAAGAAAAAGAAGTTGTCCTTTAGTCAGTACTGACCAGCATCATAATTTTAAAGGAACAAAAAATTCCCCTTGCGATTCAGATTTCCTTTCTATGGTATTTATATAAATACCGTATGTTAACATTCTTCACACTGTTCAGTTAACAAATTCCCTCACTTGGTAAGTATTCTTTGTCTGTATGTACATACTGGGCAATGGAAGTAGTCATAAAAGTGATCATTAAATCAGAAATACCACTGCCAAGTAGCGGTAGAGTTTAACAGGGAACAGACTTTCAGGTAAATGCAGCAGGTGCTAGAATGAATATTTGCATAGTATGTGTTGGGAAAAGATTCCCTAAATCTATATGGGGAAAGAAAGCTTGTTGTGGAAGACTTTACAGAGTATTTGAAGTGGGACATTAAGGATAAGCAGAGATGCAGGTATTGAGGATAGAGGAAGAGAGGGGTGGGCAGAGGTTCCAGTTATTTTCATGATCATTTTACATATTTAGGAGCTGGGTAAATTGAATATTCAAGAGGTTATTTGAAAATAGGAGCAGTTTCAAAGTTCTTTTTGTTATAAAAGATTTGCCAGTATCTTACCTATTACTTTGCCTTTTATTATTGAGTGTGTTTTGTTTTTGTTTTTGTTTCCGTTTACCATATCTAAAAACTGAGAACCTTATTGTTTTACCTAAAAGGATGAACTGATGTTCATCATCCTTCCTGGAATATAAAGATGGTCAATTCTGCCGTTGAGAACAATTCCCAAGTAGATTTCTCTGAGAATGCTTATTGTTTCTATAAGATAACTGTTCAAATCTCCTGAGAGCAGGGAGGGGAATATGGGTTTTGTCGGGTTTTTTTTCCACTTAAAATAATTATCAAACATTGAAGAATCATAATTAGCATTTTCACAGAAAATGAGGAAGATAAAGAATAAAGTTAATTGCATTGGTTGCTGTGAGATTCACTCACATTATGTTTCTCTAAGCCAATAATTTTAATGGGATGTGGTTCAGAAAACTTAAAATCCTTAAAGTCAGGAAATGAGTTTATTTCTTTGTTGTTCCTACCTAGCTTTTTAGAAATGAAAAATTTGTTTGTAGTCTTTGTAGAATCAGTGAAAACTAGTTAAATTTTAGACTAGCATTTGTTTTTCTTTGACCTTGTGTTATTTTCATTTTATCATGTAATTAGGATATTTTTTAAAGGTTACAAATTTTAATAGTTCAAATTTGTTTAATTGACGTTGTATGTTATTAGTCAAATTTTTTTCTCAGCCACTTAATTTGCATTATGTTCATTTTATTCCTCATTTTTCTTTTTATAGGACCCAATGTTGTCTTCAGTGTGAAAGCACCTCAGAGACCCACTATCCAAGTTTGACTCTAGCGTGGAGGCAGGGCAGGCAGCCCTGATCAAATATCTCCTACACAAATCATTAACTTCGTTTGAATGTTAGAGCCACTTGTGATTATTTCTTTGTGTTTCTAATTTACAGTTAAAATTTATCTGTAACAAGTTAAAGGATAGTGGGTCTTTGTGTGGCTTTCCCTGCTATTCACTCTGACATCCTTTAGCATTTTTCTCCTTTTTTAATTTGTTAATTGTAGGTCATTAGCATGCATTTTGAGTTTGCCCTTACGTGGTGGGAGTTCAAACACACAAAGACCCACTATTTGCACAAGCTGTTGTCGCTGATTTGAAATGGGCTGCCATGCTTAACTAATGTTACTGCAACATGTGTCTTCATACAGAATTCAGATAAAACTCGCTTATGTTTTGCTATTATGTTTGATCTAATCCTAATCACAGTGAGCTCTTAAATGGTTCAATATATGATTTGCTCCCAAATATGCATTGTTTATTACTTTCTAACATGCCACTATGAGTAAAAAATTTGTTTTAAGACCAAGAACTGGAAATAACCTTTTCTCTGTTTTCTGTGTATTTCTGGGTGGAAGCCATGACATTGAGGGGAGCTTTTCTTATCTCAAGACAAGAGGCACGTGTCCTGCCTCAGCAGCACATGCAGAGTAGTTGTGTCTGCCGTGCTTCAGCTGCCCAGGCATGCACATTGCTGTGGCTGCTCCTTTAGGGTCTTTATGTGCTCTGGGCTATGAAGATATTGCATCCTGTCCAGCAGAGTCAATTGTCACTTTTTATTGATGACCTAAAAATGGATTATTTTTGAGGAATGAAAGACTCCCATCACTGACCGAGATAGAAAACCTTCCCCAGCTTAGATGTCACTTACATCTATAATACACTTTAAAGTCAAAATTTGTGTTACCTATTTTAATCAAGTGACTATATCTCCCATGTCACAAAAGGACTCTGGTTGGCGTTCTTCTTAATTAATGTATTTAATAAGGAATCCTGGAAGAGGTTAAATGCCCCTGAAGCAGGCATACAGGCACTGTCTTGTCAAAAATTCAAGTGAAGGAAACATGTTCCTTTATGTCCATTGAAGCCGCTTTGAGACTGGGAGGTTGACTTTACCCTCCCAGAGTTTTCTGGCTCCTGTCTGTTCTTCAACCACGTTGGCTACTTTGGCGTGGGAGTTTACTACTTTTCCTTGAATGGAAAACACTTTGAAGATAATAAACGTTATCATAAACTAATAAATGCAGGAGTACTTAGCTGAAACAAAAAGGAGTTCTAGTAGACAGTATTAAACTATATTTGAAAATCAGTAACAAGATTATGCAATTTAAAATGTTTACAAACTGCAGTGCAACCTACTGTTTATGAATGTCACAGTACATCAGGAAAAGTGTACATACAATCACCGAGTCTTATTTCCTCAGAGTTCTTTAGGATGAGAAAATGTGCTTTTTTATATTTGAGTTTAGGAGCATATTTTGTGCAATATTTATGTTCATGTGCCTATACATTGTGAATGAATGATTTCAGTCCTGCATTGCCTAAGTCATGACTTTATGGTACTTGAGAGAGATCAGCAGCTTAGTTGGAACTTCACAAAGTGCAAATGTCAGTGTTCCAGCACGCTGCCCATTGTTTAGCTGTGTGGTGATCAGCACATGTGCTCCCTGGGGCAGGGATTTCTAGTTATCAGTCACCTCAGTTTTTAGCATTCGGCATCATCATGATACTTTTATAAAATACAACATTAATAGGAAAGCAATAATATCACTTCACAGGTAGAATAACAGACTTGCCTGTAGCCACCATAGGAGATACTGGATTGCGTCCTGGTGAATTCAATTGATCTTCCAAATTGTGTAGATTACTCAGTCTTGCCTTTATTTTCTGAGCATTCTGCTTTTGTACCCTTTGGTTGAGTTCAGATTAAGAACAATTACTTTCCATCTGTTTTAAACCCAAAGGTTAGAAATCTGACTACTGCAAATTAGCCATGTGACTTAGTATAACATTTTGTCTTCACAATTTTGAATTTGGGCTTCTCTGATACACTGATACATTCTTTCAGAAGTATTTTTATAGCTCAAATCACTTCACCAATACAGATTATTCAGAATGACATTCAGGTAGAGCTTAGCATCTGTAATCAGTTTGAAAATAGTATTCCTTAGGTATGTGAACTAAATCACATAAATCAATATTTAAGCTGAATGTCAGCCTGGAAAATAAATTTACTATATTTACTGAAATACCTCTCTTTGTATAGGTATTTTGATATATATTGAGAGAAAGCTACAAGTAAAGGAAATTGTATGGCATATAATAATAACCCAAGTCCTTCTTAAAAGCGCATGTGTTCCTTTGCAATACCTCATTTTCCACCATGTGTTTATTCTCTTCAGTATAAGGGGCAGCTTTCAGTTTGCTTAGAAAGGAACATTAGATGGAGTTTTTCAGAAATACAGGATATTAAAATAGGGGCACAAATAAATAAATCTGAACCCCTGAATAAATATGAACCCTGTAGGAAGTAAAGAATCAAAATACCTGTTTATTTAAAAATTGCAATATATAATCATTTTTAAAATATGTGATTAAACCAATGGGTTTTCCAACAATGAAAAAAAAACAGTTCTAAAACCAAAACTGATTTAAAAAAAATTTAATCAACCCTAACCTTGCATAGTTTCATCTGAAACATAAAGAATCATTTAAATATAATACAGCTATTAAAATGATGCAATTGCTATTTTATTAGCAATCCATAGAAATGATCCCTGAAAGTGTAGTCTTGTAACTGGTATTTTAATGTCTTAAAATACAGTAGGAATACTGATAGCTTAAGATTAAAAAAAAGTGGAGGAAGGAAAGGTAGAGAAAGAAATGCCAATTTCACTCCAGAGCTTTATTTGCCAAGTTTTCTTAGAATGAATTTTACCACGATATAAATTCCTGTAAATAGAATCTCTAATGGAAAACACTTAGAGACTTTTGCCTAAAGTGGCATTATTGGATGCTGCTGTGATGCTACTGTAATGTAATAAATTATTAAATTGTTGCAAAGTGCTGGTTTTTGCCTTAAATTTTTATTTTGTGTGTCTTGAAAATTATAGTATTAAAGGTGTTGGATTGTGCAAATGCTGGGCACGCTTGGCATGAGGTGATCTGTTTTTATTTTTACAAAACTGTAATATAACTATGCAAGTGTGTTTATTAAAAGGACACAAACTACATTACTTGTATTGTGTATTTCTTTTGAAGCATCCTTTAAAATTTATTTTTTAATTATTAACATGTAGTCATGGTAGAATTTCTCTTTTTCCTGAAAATAGTCTCTGGGCATAGATCAGCAAAGTATTTTATGTAACGGGGTAAGAGAAATTTTATGTGGTCAAGATTAAAGTAGTTTAATCCAAGATAATCATATGTATCTTAAAAGCAACGGAAATTTTGATTTCAAAGTATCGTCTAGCATAATAATAATAATAATAATAATAGGCTATTATGTTGTTTACAGTTTTTATTACAACTTTTTTCTAAAATGATTGGAAGGAACTTACAAGTTGATACTCATTGCAAATGTAGAATAAGATATTTTTACTATAAGAGCCTCCATAAAAGAGACTGCAGTGAATGCTTGGGGGCACCAGAGTTAACCACCATCAAGTTAGTGGTTTCACATTGAGTGCAAAATGTGAATCAAAATCCAATCAATGTCCAGTGTAAACACTTCACAAAAACCTTTCCTCATCTCTAGAAAGACACTCAGCTAACAGGCAGTGAGCATTTGCGTTAGGCCAAATGGAATCGCAGCTACTGGGAATATGAAAATGAGCGTCAGAAGACCCTAGACTTAGGTACTACTTAGCTCTGTGGGGAGATCAGGCACATTTGCAACTAATTATAAAACAGCATGATGCGCACAGTGACAACTATTTGCTAGGCACCAAAAGAGTACAGAGAAGGAATATCTAATTCAACCGTGCATATAGATCAGCGAATCTGAGAAGACTTCCCAGAGGAGGCAGCTACCAGATCCATAAAATAAGTAGGAGGAAACCAGATTGAAGGATGGGATGGTGGAGTGTACCAGAAAGACACAAAACAGCAGGGTTTGGGGCTGTGATTATAAGCAGTTTATGACTGCTGGAGTAGATGCAAAGGCAGGAAATGAAAGTTTTAACTTGAAAAGCCGAAGAGGGGCTAAATCAATTATTCTTTTGTTTTGCTGTCATGGAAGCACCTCGGGAACTTTAAAAGTATATTGATGCCCAAGTCCTGATTTAAATGGCCTGAAGTATATCCTGGACATGGTGATTTTTCAGAGCTCCCCAGGGGATTCTGATAAGGAAGGCATGGTACAGAAAAAGTGGCGAGTGAGTTCACTTTCTGAGGAAACACTGGAAGGAGTTAGGGATTGATGGAATGTGTGGGCAGGTGGAGAGTCAGCTGGGCCCCCACATTGTATCTTGGTGACAGGATAGAATAATGATTCCACTGACAGCATTAAAAATAATCAGAGTTGGAGGGAGATAAGTTTGGTTTTGATTACGAAGTACCGTGGGACATGAAGATAGAATTGTCCATGGGCCTCCCTGGTGGCACAGCGCTTGAGCGCTGGGTTGCGAAGCTGCCCGCAGCCTCTGCAGCGCCGGTTCGATCCCCAGCTGCTCCCGGGCCACCGAAGGAGGGTCCCACATGGCGCGCAGACCTCTCCTGCCGCCCGCTGCTCCCCTCAGCAGTGTACTTCGGTCCTTCTGCCTGCTCTGCTCCCCGCTCTGGCTCTGGTGAATTCTCTCACCCTCCCGTGCTTCTGACTGTACCCAGTGCTTGTATAAATAAATAAATCTTAAAAAAAAAAGAATTTTCCAGCAAGTAGTCAGATGTAGTTAAGATACACAGACTCCGATGTGTATCAGCTGATATAATGATAGTTGTTGAATCACTGAAAATAAACATGAATAGGGAGAAAAGTCCTTGGAGGGTCTCAGCAGTGAAGGGTTGGATGGTGACAGGACCCTTGAATGAGGAGATTTTGGTGCTAACATTGCCACCATTTTAAATAAATTAATAAAGTTCTGACTGTATAACTCTCATACTAGTGAGATAAATCTGTACCTTACTGAGCACTTACTTGTCTGGGTACTTTTCTAAGATCCTTGAATGCTTTTACCTTATTATTGTTTTCAAAGTTAGGAAATTAAAAAAGTTAAATAACTTGTCCAAGGTTACAAGCTGATAAATGGTAGCAAGTGCTCTGGCTCTAGAACCATGCTTAGCCTCTACATTCCTGGGCTGACATTGTCAACATTTTTATATTAATGAAGTTACTCCAGTATGACCATCGTTTGAAAAGAGGAAAGTCAGAGATGGCATCATGTGTTCTCTATGACATAGGTACATGCAGAGAAGAGACAAGGAGGCGAGGACTGAATATAAGAAACAAGGACAGGTGTCTTTAAGAGTAAAGGAGGAAGCTGAACTAAACTTGTTTTTGGTCATGTACCATGGAGTCCACCCATTTAAAGTGCACAGCTGAATGGCTTTTAGTATGTTGGAAGTTGTACAATTATTGGCGCAATTGTAGAACATTTTCATCACCTCAGTAAGAAACCCTATAACTTTTAGCTGTGACCCACCTATCTTCCTGTTCCCCCCTCCCAGCCCATGGCAATTACCAATAACCTATTTTAGCCTATTTTAGACGTAGCAATAAATGAAATCATAAAACGCATGGGGTTTTGTGATTGGCTTATTTCACTTAGCATAATGTTTTCAGGGTGCATCTAGGGTGTAATGTATATAAGTACTTCATTCCTATTTATGGCCAAATAGTATTTGATTATATGGATATACCAAATAATTTGTCAATTATATGAATTTGGGTTACTTCTACTTTGAAGCTTCTGTGAATGATACTGCTCTGAACATTTAGGTACAAGTTTTTGTGTGGACATATGTCTTCATGTCTCTTGGATATTTACCTGAGAGAAAAATGACTGGATCACATGGTAATTTCATGTTTTTAAAGAACTGCCAGACCATTTTCCAAAGTGGCTGGAACACTTATATATCCCCATAAGCAGTGTACAAGGATTTCTGTTTCTCCACATCTTCACTACCACTCATTATTAGCCGGCTTTTTATTTTAGCCATCCTCGGGTAGCATGTGATACATTATTGTGGTTTTGATGACTAATGATGTTGAGCATCTTTTTTTTTATTAAAGATTTGTGTATTTATGCATACAAGAGCTGGGGTACAGGCCAGAGATGTGGGAGGGAGGAGGTGGTGAGAGGATTCACCAGAGACAGAGTGGGGAGCAGAACAGGCAGACTGACAAAATACACTGCTGAGGGGAGCAGCGGGCAAGTCAGGAAAGGTCTGCTGCACCATGTGGGTTGTTTCCTGGCTGGCCGGGGGATCGAACTTGTGCTGCAGAGGCTGCGGATTACTTCATAGTGCAGTGCTTAATCCCTTGCGCCACCAGGGAGGCCCAGTGTTGAACATCTTTTCATGTGCCTGTTGGCCATTTGTACGTCTGCTTTGGAGAAATGTGTTTTCAGATCTTTAGCATAATTTTTAATTGAGTGATTTATCTTCATAATCACTTTTTCTACTTTGTTTTAACAAGAACAATAAATTATGAAAGATGTGCTTAAAAGAGATGTCTTGATGCTGTTGTCAAAAGGTAAAATCACTTCAAGAACGTGCTAAAGTGCATGTAAGGCAGGCTGCTGTGAATCCTGCCTCTCCCTGCTCACCGCTCTGAGCCTGAGCCTCATCTGTGTAATGAGACTAGAAATACCTGCATTATAGATGAGACTGTGAGATTTATGAAGCACTAGTTCAATGTCTGTTGCATAGACAATGCTATTTCTAGTATCTAACAGCTAACACTGTCTACTGATGGACACTCTGATGTCTGACCTGGTTATTAAGTGCTGGGGCTGGAACCTGAGTCCAGATCTGACTCCAAAGCTCTGGCACTTAGCCATCCCCATGCTGCTTTCTGTTAAATGGAAGCTACTGTAACTCCCAACCATAAGAGCAGGCATCAGTTAATTCCAGGAGACATGTGAGAAGATGGTAAAGAGAATTAACTGCTTAAATGAAACCAAACTGGTCAAGTTACATTTCTAGGTGCTGGGAGAACCCACTGCTGAGAGCTCTGTGTCATCGGTGATGGTCTGTAACCCCCATGACATCAGAGTGATGCTACAGACTCAGTGTGTCCTAAGTCAGCAGTTTGGGACAAAGTATCCAATTATGTAGTCATAAACAAGTTGAAAATACAGGTTGTGTAATCATACCATTGAGGAAAATTAGGGGTGTAGCCAGCTGTTTAGTAATACCGAGAAAAGTATATAGGTGCTTTCGGAACCCCTGGTGCCCCAGGATAGTGCTGTAGTAATAGTTGTGCTGAGATGTGTGGAGTGGTGGGTTTAAAATTGGACATTAGATACAAACTACTAATTGTGCATGTGACATAGTCCAAGGGTATGTCAGGGACTAATCATGTCACTTAGACAAAGACAAGTTAAGGAAAAAAGAGTAAGAGCCCTATTGGCTTTTTCAGTACTTTTGTGCTATTTGGTATTCAGAATATTTTACCTAAATCCTTTTTTTTTTCCTTCTAGGATTAAGTTCAGTAAGCATAAGCCCCAGGTCAAGTTTAAACAACACTATCTTGAGTGTTTTGCCTCTACTAGGATTGCTGTGTGAACACCACATAAAATGCCCTGGCATTTCAAAGCATGGGGCTTGAATCAGGAGACCCAGGTTAAGTGATAATTATGAGTAGGTCTAAATTCTATGGTAAATCACTTAGCCAGCACGCTTCAGATTTTCCATCTGTTTATACAGTAGGGGTCAAAGTTGTATCAGTTTTTCAGAGGAGTGAGCGGAAGTCATAAATTGTGATACACATTGATAACACTTATTATTATTAACACTTATTATTATTCTATGTTGGGCAAACTGGAAGATCATACATCTCTTCTTAATCCTCTATGTTCTGAATAGCACATTAATTCCTTCAGCTGAATCACAGGCATAACTGGCAGTCTAGAAGCTGATAAAAATGTTAACCTGAACTACATGATTGATCAGGCTAAGATCTAAACTTCTGTGCCATTGAGGGGTCTTTACTGTTTTTTAAGCTTTTGACCTTTTCCTGTTTAGATTCAAAAATAAAAATAAAACCAATAAAAATTTTCTTTACCCACTTGCTTTTATAGACACTTGCT